AATGCAATGAAAAACTGTGGAGAAAATATGACTGAGCAAATGATTGTTGAGAAGGTGCTCAGAACTTTAACCCCTAATTTCGATTATGTGGTAACTGCGATTGAAGAGACGAAAGATCTTTCCACCTATAAATTAGATCGGTTGCAAGGTTCATTACAGGCATATGAACAACGGATGAAGGAGCGGAAAGAGGATGAATCGGTAGAACAAGTTCTTCAGGCTCAAATCCCTAAGAAATCTAATGTCCAGGGTAGAGGAGGCTACCGTGGCAGAGGGAGAGGCAGATCTAATAAGTATACTGGTGGAAGGAATTCGAATAGAAATTTTGATTCCAGTTATCAAGAACAACCTGAATCCTCAGCCGGAAGAGGTGGCTTCAATAAACAAAGGGGAGGTAAAAAGAAGATTGATAGAAAAAAAATAAAATGTTTCAATTGCCAGAAGATTGGCCATTTTTCAAATGAGTGCAGAGCACCGGCCCGAGAAGATCAGAATAATTTTCAGAGGGATGAAGTAAACTTGGCTCAAGAAGGAAAGGAAACTGATGAAGAACCTGTTATGCTTATGATGACGACCAATCATGATGACCTCAGTTCAAACATATGGTATCTTGATTCAGGTTGTTCAAACCATATGACAGGTCATATGAATTGGTTGGTGAATTTTGATTCCTCCAAAAGAAGCAAGGTTAGATTTGCGGATAATAGGGTGATATGTGCAGAGGGTTCTGGTGATGTTGTTGTTAAGAGGAAGAATGGCTCAGATGCAGTAATCTCAGAGGTTCTGTATGTACCAGGAATGAAAACCAATCTGATGAGCCTTGGTCAGTTACTTGAGAAAGGTTTTACAATGCATTTGGAGCATGGTTTCTTAGATTTACTTGATCATTCTGGCAAAAGGATATTCAAGGTTCCAATCTCAAGCAACAGGACATTCCAGGTCCAAATTGCAGCAATGGAGACTTACTGTTTAATCTCTGAGACCAATCCTGAAAACAACTGGTTATGGCATCTTAGATATGGGCATCTAAATTTCAGAGATTTATGTAATCTGCACAGAAAAGGTATGGTACTTGGAATACCTCCTCTTCAGTTACCTGGAAAGCTTTGTGACAACTGTTTAGTAAGCAAGCAGTCTAGATCACCTTTTGCTTCTATAACAGCACCTAGGGCTAAAGAATTGTTGCAAGTTGTATATGCAAATGTTTGTGGACCCTTTGAGACCCCTTCCCTAGGTGGTAATAGATACTTTGTTTCATTTGTGGATGAATTAAGTAGAAAGATGTGGATTTATTTGCTTAAAGCAAAGAGTGAAGTCTGTGATACACTGAAATTGTGGAAAGCTCTTGTGGAAAAGCAATCTGGTTTTTTCATCAAGGTGTTGAGAACAGATGGAGGAGGTGAATTTTGTTCAAATGAAATAGAGACATTCCTCAGTTCTAACGGGATTATCCATGAAATTACAGCACCCTATACTCCTCAACACAATGGTATTGTGGAAAGGAGAAATAGGACTGTTTTAAACATGGTAAGGAGTATGTTGAAAAGTAAAAATCTGCCACACTACCTACGGGGAGAGGCTGCATCTACTGCTGTTCATATACTAAACAGATCACCCACCAAAAGATTGTTAAACTTGGTACCTGAAGAAGTATGGACAGGACAGAAACCATCTGTAGCTCATTTCAGAATTTTTGGTTGTGTGTGTCATAAACACATACCAGATCAACTAAGGAAGAAATTGGATGATAAGAGTGAACCAATGATTTTTGTAGGATATAATTCTACAGGCTCTTATAGACTTTTCAATCCCAGAACTAAAAAGGTGGAGTTTAGTAGGGATGTTGTTTTTGATGAAATGAAATGTTGGGAATTTGAAAATGAGGTGACACAGCCACCACATGTCAGACTTGAACCCAATTGGGAGCAAGATGGAAATATGGAGGCTAGTACATCTGGTCAAGCTAGTGGCACAAATGAAGCAGGAGTACACAGACCTGTCAGAAATAGAAGATTGCCAAACAGATTTCAGGACTATCATATAATGACTGATTCTGAGGTTAATGAAGATGGAGATCCAATTTATCTGGCTTTACTGGCAAATATGGATTCTGTGAGTTTTGAACAAGCAATTTCTGATAAAGTCTGGGTAGAAGCTATGAAAGAAGAGCTGAAAGCTATTGAAAAAAATAAGGTATGGGAGTTGACTGACCTTCCAGTGGGCAAGAAACCTATAGCAGTTAAATGGGTTTATAAAATCAAGACCCATGCTGATGGAACTGTGGCTAAATATAAAGCGAGGTTGGTAGCAAAGGGCTTCATGCAGAAACCTGGGGTGGATTATTCTGATGTATTTGCTCCTGTAGCAAGGTTTGAGACTATCAGATTGATAGTGGCTATAGCTAATCTCCGGGGATGGACATTGTGGCATTTAGATGTCAAATCTGCCTTCCTAAATGGTTCACTAGAAGAAACAGTCCTTATAGAACAGCCTCCAGGTTTTGTAGTAAAAGGACATGAGCATCAAGTTCTGAGATTGAAAAAGGCTTTATATGGCCTAAAACAAGCTCCTAGGGCTTGGAACAAGAGAATAGATTCCTTTCTGACTAGCATTGGTTTTCGGAAATGTACTGTAGAGCATGGAGTGTATGTGAGTGGTACAAATCCTGATGCCATTGTACTAATCTGTCTTTATGTAGATGATTTACTAGTAACTGGTAAAAACATGCTTGAGATATCTGCAATCAAGAACAAACTGAAGAATGAGTTTGAAATGACTGATTTAGGTGAGCTGACTTTCTTTCTTGGAATTGAATTCACTCATACTAAACATGGGATTCTGATAAATCAAAGGAGGTATTTGTCAGAAGTTCTGAAGAGGTTCAATTTTGCATCTTGCAATGCAGTAGATACCCCAGTAGAAGTACATTTGAAACTGGATAATTGTAAACAAGAATCCAGAGTTGATGCAACATTGTTTAGGCAGTTGGTTGGTTGTTTGAGGTTCTTGTGTCATAGCAGACCTGATATCTTGTTTGGGGTGGGTCTGGTTAGCAGGTTTATGGCAGACCCTAGACAATCTCATCTAGTAGCTGCAAAAAGGGTACTCAGGTATCTAAAAGGTACAGCAGATTATGGTGTGTTGTTTTCACAAGCAAGTAGAGACTGTGCAAAAGAGATAAAGAAATTGCATCTAGTATCCTACTCTGACTCAGACTGGTGTGGGGACAAGACTGACAGAAGAAGTACTATGGGATTTGTTTTCTTTCTTGAAAACACTCCTATATCTTGGTGTTCAACTAAGCAGGATGTAGTTGCACTATCCACGTGTGAAGCAGAATATATAGTTGCATGTTATGCAGCCTGTCAGGGTATTTGGTTATTTCAGTTGTTGGAAGAACTGAATCTGGAATTTGTTTCAGTAATTGATTTATTTGTGGACAACAAATCAGCTATTGATCTGTCTAAGAATCCTGTTTCTCATGGGAGGAGTAAACATATTGAAACTCGGTTTCATTTTCTTAGAGATCAAGTCAAAAATGGCAAGATCAACTTGAAGCATTGCAGTACAGAAGTCCAAATAGCAGATGGGTTGACTAAGGCCTTGAAGACTACTAGCTTTGAAAGTTTCAGGAAAGCTCTGCAAGTAGTTAGGCTTTAGATAGTTTGTGTATATTTGATGTTTGTTGTGTTGGTTTGATTCACTTTGGCATTAAGGGGGGATGTTAAGTTGTAATAAGGTGTAATAACCAAAGTGTAATAAGTGCAAAAACACAAACTATAAATAATAACCCCAAGGCTGACTCATTGAGTTAAGTCTCTCTTGTTCATATCCATTTTTTACAAACTAACTGCTCCAACATGTACTGATGTACATGATTTGAGAATTACACCCCACCCCGTGCAAAAGAGGCGTCAATTCGATAGGGGTAGTAACCAATACAATTCAACAAAATAGTAGCGATAAGAATTATAGAACAAGGAAACTAGAGCTGAGATTATAGAAGAATCGAGAAAGGCCAGGGGAGAATCAATGGAGACATTTGCAGATTAATGTAGGAGATCATATAATAGGCGGGATAAATCGCAAAATTTCACAAAAAAAGAATGCTAACATGATAATCATCTTAGATGAATAATTAGAAATAATTAAATATTTATAACTAAAATAAACATTGTTTACAAAAATGTAACTAGTGATTATAGTAGTAATTTAATCATAGTAATAACTTATGTTCAATTTTTAAACTTAAGTGATCATAACATCATACGTAGTATTAATTATAGTAAATATTAGTCATATTTGTGTGAATATGTTTTACTTATAATTATATTTTTTTTTATAAAAACACGATTAATTAAAGTAGCTTAAGTTTACCCGAGGGTGATTATTTCAAACAAAATAGTGCTAAATTAAAAGTGAGAGCTAGCTAGTTATCTTAGATAAATAAAGTAGTTTAATTTAAAATAACCCCCAATTATACTCCGTAGCTGTTTATTGGCCGGACTCTATTAAGTGGACCCGAACTTCATAAAAAATATTACAACCACCCAATTGATAACAGTATAAATTTTGAATATTAGTGGTGGTAAACGTACTGCTAGTTATAAATTACTAATGGAAACACACACGTAAAACTGTGAAAAGGTATATCCTAATCAAGCATGCAAGAACCAAAATGGCATTAATTAGGATATTCTTTTCTCTTTTTGCAATACTCTTCAATTCTGATTCTGGCCGGCGTATGTTTTACATATATTATCCTCACTGATGTATGCAAATTAAATTAGGGTTTAGGGAACATTTCTTTGATTATCTGATTATACTGAAGAGCTAAGCATCGTCCTGCTTTAATATATGTTCGAGAAGTAAAGCGCAAAACATGCAACATCCGACATGCTTTATTTTTCCTGATATTCCTTCCTTTGTCGTTAATGATGCCTTTTGTGTTATAATTATAACTATAATTATAATGCCCCTTTCCTTAATTACTCCACCATTTTACCTATGAAGCTCCAGACAGGAAAAACCCAAACACGAAAAAAATCCGTCCCTCCGATTATCCCATTTGTGGCCCTAATAGTTGTTTTCACAATCATCTCAATCCGCTATTCCCAGAAAAATGTCTCCAACGAGACGAAATCACCCTCGTTTTTCGACGGCTCTTCCGATAATGCCCTTGCTGTAACAAACCATGCAGAGGCAGCGCAAGAACCATGCAATGATTGTAACGGCGAAAGCCAGACGTCGCCGTCAGAAACGGCAGAGGATAAGACAAGTTTCGTGACGGAGACGGTGGTGGAAGCAATGCCGCGGGGTCATGCTGATGAGGGTGCCGTTATTCCCGTTAATGATAATAACGGGAGGGTTGTGAAGGTGGGGCCGAGAAAGCGGTCTAGGAGGCGGTCAAGGAGACGGCAACGTCGCCGTGACTCGACGTTGACCGCGAAAAGAAACGTGACGAGGACGGAGGGAAATGACGGCGTTAAGGCCTTGGCGTTGGAAGTGGCGGGTACCAAGGAAGGCGGGTCGTGTGATCTTTTTTCTGGGGAATGGGTTGTGAATCCGGAGGGTCCGTATTACACGAATGTGACGTGTGACTGGGCGATCCAGGAGCACCAGAACTGCATGAAGTTCGGGCGGCCGGATACCGGGTTTTTAAAGTGGAGGTGGAAACCGGACGGGTGTGAGCTGCCCGTTTTTGACCCGAACCGGTTCTTGGAACTTGTTAGGGGAAAATCTTTGGCCTTTGTTGGAGATTCAGTTGCCAGGAATCATATGCAGTCATTGTTGTGCCTCCTCTCCTCCGTAAGCTTCTCTTTACAAGTTATACTTAGGAAGTGTATACTTGGAGTATTTGCAAAAAAATAAAAAAAATGTTTTTCACCTTTTGACTTAAAAAAGTTGAAATAAGTGTTTTTTAAGTGACAACTTTTTCTTAAATTAAGCATTTAAAAGGTAAAAGTTGGAAGTAGTCCGGGGTGCTTTAAACTGCTTTTCACTTTTTCTATTACACAAAACACTTATTTTATCAAACACTACCAATTTTTACATTCTCAGAAACAATTTTTTTTCAAACACTACCAACTTTTACTATTAATTATTTTCTCTAAAATCACTTTAAACAATAATTCTTTTAAAGTGTAAGCAATCGCAAACACTCCCTTAATACGTAGGAGTGGTATTTACTGCCTTACTAGCTAAGTTGTCCTTAATCACAGGTCTTCATTTTATAATAGTTTCTCCTCAATTGTCATTTGAGGGTTTTAAGGTTAGCTAAGTATAATTTTTTTTTTTATCGTCAAAAATTCATTAATATTAAACCAAAGTATCGTGCGCCAAACGGCTATAAATACAATCCGGAACCTCCACATATTCCTTGACATGATCTGGTGAACTAACATGTGCCTTGGCTAATGTATGACCAACATGGTTCGCAAATCTTTTACAAAAAGAGACTTCAAAATCACTCTTTGACTCAACAATAGAGAAAATATCATCAAGAACAAGCTGAAGATAAGAGCCACCCCCCCGTCATGCTATTCCCCGAACCACGGATAATGCATCACTTTCAACTATCACTCTATTCCATCCTTCAGCCAAAGCTCCACTTAATGCGTCCCTGATCCCTATAGCTTCCGTTTCCTCCACTGTCCATTCGGCTCTATGGGAAACCCCTCTCGCTTTGATGAACTCCCCTTGATGGTCTCTAGCAATCCATCCCCATGCACGCAAGCCTGCCGCCTGATTAGTTGCTCCGTCGACGTTGATTTTTATTATCCCTTCCTCCGGAGCTTCCCATTTATCCCTCATAGCACCCGTTCGCGCACCATTCTGCTGCCCTCCTCGCTGCAAACCTGCAGCAGCCCCTGCAGTGGCTTTTTGAGCCTCTTTCCACCTAACAATCATACCATCCGCCATATTAACTACCGATGAAGCCTCCTGAGTTTTATCCTCCCACACCGCCTTGTTCCGCCTCTTCCAAATACACCACAAGAGAGCCACAAATCTGCCCCGTAGGTCGCGATCTTGCTGCTCCAATTGCTGCTGCAACCATGCCTCGATCGACTGCTGCTGCCCGCCCAAGTTGTAGTGCGCAGCTCTCCAAACCTCTTCCACTTTGGGGCAGGACCGAACAGCATGCATCAAAGTTTCCTCCTCCTCCAAACCACACACCTTGCAACCCCCTAGGATATTAATACCTCTCTTTCTTAAATTTGCAGCAATAGGGAGAGTACCATCCATAACTTGCCAAACAAAATATTTGAACTTTGGAGGGATATGCAATTCCCAAATTTTATTCCATCCCTCCCAAGATCCCGAACTCTGTTCTCCTACCACCTTCCTATAACAACTCTTAACAGAAAAAGAGCCATTCTTTTCTCCTATCCACCAATAACTATCCTCCCGGTTCTGTACGCTTATTGGCACACTTAGGATGCGCTGTTTATCAGTCTCATTAAATAAAGCATCTATCCGTTCACGATTACAGTTTGTGCCAGTATAATCCCGCAAAGCCGCCACATTCATATCCCTCACCCACTGAGGTTTATTCGAAATAATTTTCCCAGTGCCTGGACCCGGTAGCCATGCATCAGCCCAAACTTGAACATTTATGCCATTCCCCACTCTCCTCCGGATATTCTCCTTCAAAATATTCTGTGTCTCAAAGATACTTCTCCAAATAAAGGAAGGGTTATTACCTACCTTTGCTTCCAAGAAAGATGATTGAGGAAAATATTTAGCCTTTAAAACACGACTCATAAGACTGTGCTGCTCCGTGATTAATCTCCATCCTTGTTTAGCCAACATGGATAAATTAAACTCTCTTATCCTCCGGAAGCCCAGACCTTCTACTTCCTTCGGCTTGCACAAAGCATCCCAACTCCTCCATCTCAGCCCCTTATGTTCAAACTTTGCCCCCTTCCACCAAAAACCATTCATTAATTTTTCAATATCATCACAGAGATCTTTCGGGAGCAGGAAAACATTCATTGCATAGGTTGGCATTGCTTGAATGACATTTTTTAGGAGAACCGCCCTACCTGCTTTGGACAGGAACCTGTTATTCCAACTTTTTATTCTGTTAAAAATTCTTTCCCTCAAATAACTCAAAATAACCTTCTTATTATTTCCAACCAAAGCTGGCAAGCCAAGATAAAGTTTCTGCCCACTATCTCTCGGAATTTCAAACAAATCACAGCATTGATCTTTAAACGGCTCACCCACGTTTGGGCTAAAATTCAAAGAAGATTTGTTAAAATTAACCATCTGCCCCGAACACTCCTCATATACACCTGCAAAATATTCTTAACTGCCAAACAGTTTCTCCCATCTGCTTTAAAAAAGATAAAACAATCATCTGCAAATACTACGTAGGTTTTAATAATTAAAAGTTACACATTTGGAAACTGTATAGAAAGTTTTACTCCGATTAAAACTTCAAAATTGAAACGACATTGAAACTACAAGGAAATAAAAGTGATTAGGCACATCGTTTTGAAACAGAAGGTGTAGACAGTCTTGTGATCACAAAATTCACGATATCACATATCATAAAATACCTCTTGTATATTGGGAAAGAGAATCTTCAGACTTCAGCCAAATGTGTGGTACTTTGTTCTAGTAGTAAGCTAGCCGGGAGACATTTTGGTTCGGGGAAGTATTTTTAGCCCTTTTTTTAAAAATATCAAACCAAATCAACCTCTAGCTGTGAGATAGGTGAATTTTTGTACTAATCCAAAGTCAAATTCATAGTAGTAGCGTAGTAGTACGTGGTTTCCTTTTTTACATAAAAGTATTTCTAGAAAATGGTCAAATGAGATTCAAAGTTTTTAAAAACTTTAATGCAAATATCGTGTTACTTTACATTGAGTCATGTCAATTGGTAATTTTGGTTTTTGGTTGATCAGCATTACCAACCAATGGTTTGGAATCACTCTTCTGATTTTAACTTGTTAACGTTACTAAATGATCATTTTAACTATATTTAGTATAATGTTTTCTTTTATTTTATTAATCGTGTTATATTTTAGATATAATTTTTTCATAAATCGGATCAATCTAGTCACTTCAATAAAAACTTCATAAATCTTAATAGAATCGATCAATTCAACTAATTTAAGTGTTTCAAACCATCTGACTTATAAAGAAATTCGGAGTACAAAACACGATAGTTAGTTATAAGAAAATTTTATATACTCCGTAAATGAGTATGTGGTCAATGTTAAACAAAATACGGTAGTTCCTTTTTTAAATCAATTTCAACCTTAAAAATTTAATGGGAAGCCTTACACGGAGGATGGGTTACTTCTAATGAGGCCGTGTGTTAAAACGTACGTTAATTAGTTAAGTTTCACACAATGAAGAAAATTAAATGATTGAAAATAGTCCATCTAAGATATATCTAAAATATCATGAATAATAATTTATTTTAAAAAGTTCAAATGTTATTTAATCTTAGTAAATAAAATCTTTTGTGAAGAAAGAAACATAAAAATTAGAGATTAGATTAAAAAAAATAAAAAAACAATGATTTTTTAAATTTTAAATTAATAATTTTCAATTCCTACAAAATTCCAACAATCAAATAACTGTGAAATTTTGTGTTTGATAACTCCTAGGTTGCGCGACCCTTGGACGTATCAACATCAACGGACGAAAACTTCAAACGTTGGGAATACAGAGAACACGACTTCAACATCTCCATATTCTGGTCGCCCTATTTAGTCCGGACAGAGAGGACCGACCCGAACGACGTCACCCGCCCATTCAACCTCTTCCTTGACGAATTCGACGAATCCTGGACGACCCAGATCCAGACCTTCGACTTCGTCATCATCTCCGCCGGCCACTGGTTCTCCCGCCCGACCTTCTTCTACCTAAACGGCACCCTAGTCGGCTGCCAGTACTGCCCGCAGTCCAACGTCTCCCACCTCCCGTCATCTTTCAGTTACCGGAACGCCTTCCGGACGGCGTTCCGGGCAATCAACGGCGCGGAGGGTTTTCACGGCGTGACGTTCCTGAGGACCTTCGCGCCGTCGCACTTCGAGAACGGGAGGTGGGACCGGGGCGGGGACTGTGTACGGACGAGGCCGTTCTTGAGGGGGGAGAAAGCTTTGGATGATTATAATTTGGAATACTACAGAATACAATTGGAAGAATTGAGGAATGCTCAGAGGGAGGGGAGAAGAAAAGGGGTGAAGCTTAGATTGTTCGACGCGACTTTGCTTATGTTGTTGCGGCCGGACGGGCATCCCGGGAAGTACGGCCGGTGGCCGGACGGGAAGGTCAGTGTACCTAACGACTGCGTGCATTGGTGCTTGCCGGGGCCGATTGACTCCTGGAATGATTTTCTGGCAGAGCTGATACGGAGAGAGGCTGCAGTAATTAGGAATTAAATTTTATGAAACTCGATAGTCCGTTTGGGACATCTGTAATAGTACCATATTTAAAATAGTACAAATATTTTAAAACTATAGAAAGATCATACCAAGTATTTGAAAGTAGAAATTTACGGGTGATAAGATCTGTTTAAATTTGATCTGATCTGATCCGATTTATTTAAGTGTGATCTGGTCTGGTTTGAGACCAAAAATAGTCCAAGTAAAAACTTTTTGCATGGGAGAGAGTTTTGTTTGCCATTTCGGCCTTCAAACTTTAAAAAATGATTTTTAATGTGATTTTAGAAAAAAATGTTTAACACGTAGTATTAAAAGGTTATCGTGTTTCAGAAAAATGTTTTTGAAAAAATTGAGAGCGCATTTTTTTATCCTGGTTTTTGATCTACTAGACTTATCAGCAATGTTTTTCACCAAACACATATTTTTGATTTCGCACGCAGAATTGTGTAATAATAAGAAAAACCAAGGTTCGAGTTATTTTACTGGTAGCATTGGAGATGCTCTATGCACCGTTAACGTTTTAGCATTGAAGATGCTCTTATAAATTTCAGCAGAATCGGCCAATACAACTGACTTAGGTATTACCAAACGGCCTCTAAAATTGGTAGTGTTTAGTAAAAAAAGTTTTTTTTTGTGAAATAGAAAAATTAAAAACATGTTAAAACACCCCTCACCCTTTCCACCTTTTAGTTTTTTTGTGAACATTCAATTTTGATTTGAAGCAAAAGCTAAAACACACTTTCTAAATGAGGGTTCAGACCGTTTGAGTATTCCGGCTAGGACTATCTCTGTGGAACATGACATCTACATGGTTGAAGGATTAATCATTAAGGGAAAGGGAGTGGTTCATGCTCAGGAAGAAGAACCAAGAAATGGAAAATGGTGAAGGGGTCCAAGCAGGAATGAACGTCGATAGAGAAGACCCAAAAAACTTGTAGGGTTGGTGCTGTCTAGCAAGCGCCACCTAATTCAGTATGAGAGGACCTTAGTGATAAAGGGGTTGGCTGAGAGGGAGTGGATATTATCTCAAATCCTTTGGTGGCTGGGGCTGGACAATACCCAATCTAGTGGCCCAGAAACTAGGCCTTATTTTCTTAGTTATTGTTCTTCATAGTTGATGGAGTATATGGTCCTAGACCCTCTGGCCCATATACTCATACTACATAGAAACAGGCTTAACGGGTCACTAAAGCCTAGCAAGTAATCAACCAATCCTCAAGTGGGCCACCGCCCAACTGGAGGCAACAACAAACCAAACTATTGACAAAATGACCTTGAAGGATGCCTTCATCTATACAATGCCTCGGAGTCACTATTTTTTAACAATTACCTATGTATTCAAACAATTTCTAAAAAGTTGTACGAAGTATTAAATGCTGTAATGTCAGCCATTTAAGATATTTTTATTATTGCATGCTATTATCTTTTGGTTATTACTAGAATATTATATGGAGTATATATATGAATTACTACACACAATGTTGGCCCGATCTAATATTATAAATATGCCTGAATCCCCATATTATCACAACATCACAACACTCACACTAGCACTACAGTGGTAGCAAATACAAAAGGAAATAGAATATAATGTGGTCTCTCAGGGATATGATGAAGTACATTACACCTTCATGGGCTTTGAGAGGTAAAGGCATGTGAAATGCCACTTGATTCTAAAGGCATGTGGAATGCTTTTGTAATGTCAGCCATTTAAAATATTTTTATTATTGCATGTGATAGAGTATTCAATTCTAGAGAGAAGTGAGAGCTAGAGAGAGAAAGTGAGTAATTAATATTTCTCAACCCCCTATAACTAGCCCCTATGGGTCTATTTATAGGTAAAAATATGGATTTGGGCTCCTAGCTTTGGGCTTAGGAGGCCCTTTACAATAATCTTGCCTTCTTTGGGCGGAATACGGCCACTAATGGACTGAGTACAATACTTTGTAAAATAAAGCAAGAAAGTACATTCTGCTAGGAGCCATCCTGGCCGATGCAGTGCTTTTGGCCGATGCGACCCCATGGCCGATGCGGTCCATGGGCCGATGCAGCCTCCTTGTGTCTTGATAGCGTCCTGGACTGATTCGGTTCTGGTCGTTGCATGGCCCACTAGACCGAAGGGTGCCACGTGGGTGTCCCTCTGGTATTGTTGACCGTCTGAGTATGTGGGCCATGGGGTCCAAGCCCATATACTCTATCAGGAGTCCCCCACTCTCTGAGCTAAGATGAAGACGAAGCGAAATGGAGTACTTTCCTTGTTCCTCTCTGATTGGCCGTTGCGTGCCCCCGATGTGTTTGGAGGCCGAAGAGGTCTTGTTTGTTATTTAGACGTAGCGTTTCCTTCATCTACTAAGGACGAAGCGTGTCTTGGATTCACAATTTTGATGCAGGCCGAGGTGTTCCGCGGAAGCGCTATCAGAATGAAGCGTTGCACTTTCCTTCTGTTGAAGCCGTTGCGACGCCTTCGTGGTTGGTGACTCTCCTCTTTGGATTGTAGACGATGTGATGCAGTCTGGTGTGGGTAAGCCGAAGTGTTTCATTGTCATCTTTTGGAGGCTGAGGAGATCCCATCTGCTTCTTGGCCGTGGCGGTACCCTCACTCCACGTGGTGGAGTCTTTCATTTCCACATTATAAGGACGATGCGTGTCGCACACCTTTGATTTGTAATACAGCCGAAGCGTTTCCATGCTGATACTTCATCTATTTTGATTTGATTGTTTTTTTTTTGTATATACCTGCTTTGGCCGATGTAGTCCCCCAGTCCCCCACTCCTTTAGCCGAAGAGAATGTTGAGGCATAAAGGAGTAGGTGTTGTTTGGCTGAAGCGGCACTGTGGCGTTCGTCGCGACTCCCACCCTTAGGCGGACCTGTCCAAGGTAACCCTATGGGACAACCCTTGGACGAAGGCCGCGATGTCAGGGTTATCATCAAACGACTCGCGTGTAGGTGGCCGTTACGGTAGAACCTGGGTTGTCGTGGCCGTAGAGGGGTTGCTTTGCTCTTGAGTGTCTAGGCTGATGCCTGCCTTGTGTTCATTGGCTTTTTACTTGAGCCGTTGTGGTGCTGTATTTGCTGATGGTGATGAGGCAGTGGCGCGACCTTGTTGTTGTGGCTCATTTGGGCCGTAATGGGTGGTTTGTGTAAGAATTTGAAGAGATACCTTGTGATTGGCTCTAAGAGAAGCGGCCGTTGGTGTAGCCAATTGATGAACGCCACGTGTAGTGACCGTTGGAGGGGGTGTCTATAAGTAACCCTCCATCCGAAGCCTTCCCTTCATTTGTGTTCTAGGCAAGCAACGAAGTGCTGCCCATTTCTAGAGAGATAAAGCGCTCCCAAGATCTTTCAAGTGTTCATCCAAGTCTTCAAATCTTCAAAGGTCAGATTCCTTATTGTTCTTGTCGTTTTCTTTATACTTTGCTTCCTAGGGGGTTAGATCTAGTGTTTCTAGGAAAACTCACTTTGATCCGAAAAACCACCCTTAGGATTAGGCTTTAGATGTTATGTCGTTCCCTAACGGCCGTAGCGTCCCCTCCCCTATTGATCTAACAGCCTCGTTGGATGAAGAGGACTGACCATTTGACGAAGAAGACACATCTCCTCGGCTTGATCTGCGGTTAATAGAGGCTTTTGAGATCGAGATGGAAAACACGGCCGATTACCGTACGTCAGTGGACGAGGAGAGACTGAGTGATGCGGGGGCTCAGAATTCGGGTGAGGACGAAGCAATCTCCAGTTCGTCTCTGAGGGGGGATGAGGCCTCTTTTTCGGCCACAATCCCTTGTCCTCCTCCTGTCTCGGTCGTTCCCGGTGAGGGCTCCGTGGTTGGCGGTCCGAGGAAATCGTATCGACGCAAGAAGCGGAAGGGTGTGCCTCAGGGTTTTTCTCAGCTGGACCTTAGCAACCTGTATATTATTCGCCCAGAGAGCTCCCTTGGTGAGTATCATGTTGCCCAGTTGTGCGTGGGTCCCTATGGCCGGGTCAGGGCTCTTAGGCCAATAGATCACGTGTTGAACCCTCCCCTGGATACTTTAGAGTGTATTCGATGAGTTTTGCCAAGGGTCTGAGGTTCCCTCTGCACCCCTTCATCAAGGAGTATCTAGATATGGTGGATCTCCCTCCGGCCCTGCTGACCCGGAATAGTTATTCTTTGATCGTCGGCTTCCTTATTCGTTGTTCTGAGATTGGAGTGGCGCCGATGACGGCTTTATTCATGAATCTGTATCGCATCGGCCGTGTAAGCCACGAGAATTGCACTGGCTATGCTGCCCTTCAGAAGATGAGCAAGAAGAGGTCCTTTATCGACCTGCCAACTTCTATCCACGGGTGGAAAGGCAAGTTCGTCTTCATGACGTTAGGTGGGGGCGGGTTTTTTCCTTCTGTGGGTCACAGCGGCCTTTTTCGGCTTCATGATCCGCTAGAGAGTGCTGATTTGAGCGCACAGGTCGAAGCGTTCCTGAAAGACAGGGAGAGGAGCATCAAGACGTACATCACGGAGTATAAGATGGCTGCTCTCGGCCTTGTGAGGTATTACTATCCAGGTGATGTGGATGACGGTTTTTGGCCGAGGTTTGAAGGTTCGTACAAGCAGGCCGACACGCCCCACCTTGGTGTTCCTGCCGAAGCCGAAGGTTGATCCCCGGCTCATCTCTCATGGTTTTTATTTTTACCTTCGCCTTTTGACTAATCAAAGCCGACGCGGAGTTGAAGGCTGCTAAGGCCGTTGAGGAGGCGAAGGCCGTGGCCAGCTCCCAAGGCGGTGTCGAAGCCATTAGGAAACCCGTCTCCAAGAAGAAGAAGAGGGCCGCTGATGAGGGCCAGAAAACTTTGACCGAAGCGGGTTTGAAGCCGGGCCAGGCTTCAAAGAAGACGAAGAAGGTGCCTGAGGCTGATGAGGTCGGAGCTTCATCAACCCAGATCGCGGGTAATGGCCGGCCTGCCAATGAGGATGCTGTTCTGGTAGATCTAACCGTGGCGCCCTCCTTGGTCGTGGTTGCCTCGGCTTCCAAGGATGCTAAGGTTGTCCCCATCAAGTCCTGTCTGGAGCAAGAATTGGTTAAGGGTCAGTACAAAGTTCGAGTACGCTACCCTTCAAAAGGCGGGTTATTCAACGAGGCCGTCAGTGGTGATGACGTCCTTGCTAAGGCCATCACTGAGTACGATCGGCAATACCTCGGCCGACAAGGCAAGCATGTCCAATCCGTTTGTACGA